TTGTTTCTTTCAATAAGAAAGGACAAAGAATTGCATTTATAAAAATTTGTAAACACGCATGGGATAATGAACATAGGGTTCAATGGAATAATTCAAATGTAGTCCTAAAAGAAACGGATGGTAAAAAAAGGAAAATCAAAGAAGCGGCTCTAATTATGCTAAATGAGGCCAATTGTGTCGCAAATGCCTCGGCAGAATGTAGTAGGATCTGGTTACCAATATTGAAAGAGGAAGTTATTAATAAGAAAATACCAGTATTAGTAAGTCAGTAACATATAGAGGATACATCATTTATGTTTTTTTAAATAACGTAACATATAAAATCAGAATTTTGATGTTTGTTGAAGGTAAACTAAATTCACGAACAAATACTTACAATGTCGGGATAGTATTATGAGGTTTTTTTTCCTGGTTTTTCCCTCATAATTTACTATGGAATCACTAACAAGAGAATTTTACTGTCATCATGTCATGTGTTTGTCTTTTTTAAGACGAATTACATGCTATGATTTTTTTCTGACGGATATTCTCAAGTTAAAGTTGATTTCATGTAATCGAATGAACTATCTTTTAAGTAAAGTCGTCCGAGGAGCGCAACTCAACAATATTGGCAATATCATTTTAAAGTCGTCTACTTTAAAATGCATAATGTATGTCTGAATTGTCAATATAAATGAGTCAGATAAAATTAAATTATTAGAAGAATTTTTCACTATGTAACAAAAAACAAAATTTGTTTAATTTACTGTTTGTATTTTGAGAACGATTTCCGAAGTGTAAATTGAAACGTCAATAAACGTATTTTTATCTTTAATTGTGGCTTATTCCCAGTTTAATAGTAATTAATTTGTTTTTTTTTTTTGTTAATAAATATGTCAGTTACATCTAATTAAACCCAGCAGCTACATAAAAATTTATTTAATAATCTCAGTGACAAGAGTCAGATCACCTATCGTGATATAACTCATGGCTTGATGGTATTCGGAATTTTTGGAGCAGCGTATTAGTTGTAAAGTAAAAAAACTGGTTGTAAATCTTATTGATACAAAGTTCTCTTAGTAAATATTGGTACTAGTACTCTTAAAACATTTTAGTATATTTAACACGTTTCACAAAAAAACAATATTTTCGCAGACCAGCATATTCGGCACTATGCAGCATTGCAGAACGACGAATGTGCGAAGTACAGTCGGTAGAAGTACTTAAATGAGCTGTAACACATTTGTAAAATATTGATACAATAAATAAAATATTTTCTTGTTAAAATAATTATCATTTAATTAAGCCATTAGTTAAAAACAGTGATTACTCATTATTCAGTTAAATTTGGCTCTAATTTTTTTAATAGAAATAGTGCAATTTTTCTACTTAAAACTAGTTTCTCTTTCTCGGTCTTTATCGGTTAGCTTTATCTTATCATTGATTTTTCTATGGAGTACGTAATATCTTAAGAGTCTTAGATAAGATAATAAAACAACCAATATTAAAAAACTGATAAATTTACCAATGGTTTCAATTATAAGAAAGGTAACATTTTTTTCAATGTACACAAGTTGCATATTTATTGTAGCAAAAACGCCAATAACCAAGAATTAACTTAAGCAACTTGAAATACACTGAATAGTTAAATATTATTAAAAAAATAAAAATATAGAAATTATATGGATAAATATATCATAAAAATACTACAGACAGCAAAGCAATAGATACTGATAATTTTCATTGGCAATTCTTACAACTTATGAACGAAAACAGCATAAAATGGCAATAAAAAGACACATGTAGAAAATGGAATAACACAAGGAGTTGAAGACGATCAAATGCAACAAATGAAAAACTGTGCGAAAGAAAAATCAATTTTAGTCGAAATCAAGAACAGATAAGTACTTGTACTACATAAAAAATGCGAATACTTAAAAAAATATCATCATCGAAAGGAAGACATGACATTATTGAAAAAAATCATCATCCCTAAAATTAAAATAGACAGGTAGTTTGGACGAGCTTTTCGTTAAATGTAAATCTATGGTCAGATAATTAGAAGCACCAGGTTTCAAAGATAAAGTATTGGCTAAAGCTTTGATAAAGAATTGTTACACCCAAACGTAATTCCTAGAGGCGAACATGTCTCACAGGCTGGGTTTAAATAAATTGCTTGCTTGACCGTGGAATTCATCAAAACAAGATTACTTGATGTTGAGTTGACAGGTGAGAAGAATGCATTAGAAATACATTCCACAGTGGAGCAAGTATCTTTTATTATTACTGTTATGGATATAGACAAAAGGCAATACAAAAAAAAGCATGTCCAATAAAACAAATAAAACTCCCAATTAACATCATCAAATTAAATAATTATCAAAATTTCCAATCAGGATCATCATCAGGAAGATTTCAGAGAAGAAGACAACAAAATTTTAACAACAGAAGCGGAATTCAAGCTATCAACGGAATTTAGATGTATGCAGAAGAACACAGTCTATCAGAAGTGAAAGAAATTGTAGAATTTAGTGTAGAAGTCGAATAAACGTCCAGCGAGTAGAATGTAATTTTCATCATAGACAAAGCGACTGATTATCTAGTAACCAATGACTTATGGTTAATATTCAGATCCTTCCAAGTGAAATTTCAATCAATATTGCGGATTCAAAGACAATGGTGGAAAAAAGAGAGGTTATTTTAAACTGTATTAAATTCATCCAAAATATTTTGTCAGCTGTCAAGATGCAGACAAAGAGATTATAGAAAACGAAATACAAATAAAGCAATATATGTGCAAAGACATAAAACATTTCATATGGAAGAAGAACGAAACGAGTGAAGAAGGATGAAGAAGAAAACTATAGAATAATATGATGACAGAAGAAGAAAGAAGCAGTGAACATATCAGACTGAACATATGATCTGTACATGACATGTTGTTTACTAACAAGCCGTAATTCGACTAAGTATATGAAGCAATTGTACAAAATATAGAATCGCATAAAGCTATAGAAACTGAGCTGAAAGCATATAAACTTGGTGACCGATGAAGAACAGTGACTGCAGATTTTCCAATTGTCAAAAAGGCAATAGTTACAAAGTGGCTTTTCAAAATGAACGAAAATTGGTTGAAGAAATTCGACTATTAGCAAGAGACTCCCAAGAAGAGTATTATGAAAATCTTATGCGCCTGTTGCAAGAATGTCAACTGTCAGAATTATGATATCTCATTTATTTCAGAAAGATTAAAAATCAGACAACCAAATATATCTACTGCATTTTTAAATAATATTTGAAGTCAAAGAAATATCTCAAGGTACTGGATGGTTTGGAAAAAAGAAGTTTCTAAGCTGAGTTAGCTTCTGGCTTGGAATGCAACACGAAGGATATTGAGATATTTGAAGAAAACTGAACCTTTAGCACTGACTTTTCTTAAACATGAAAATGGGTACAATTTGGATATCTATTCAAGGTAAGAGTAACCGTGGATCAATAGCGAAATATTTAAATAGTTAGAACAAATCCAAACACCCACACTGGGTAGACATCAAAAGTTCTATTTATGTAATGGAAAGTTTAGAAAATAACAAACGAAGCAAATGTATAGATATTTGTAACCACTTCGCTATCATTCTCAAAGAAATAATTCGGGTGAAATATAGATTAAGTGTAGAAATTATAGACGATTTCATGTACGTATGACGTACATGATAAACAAACTAATAGACGAATTCAAAAAATGGGGATTAGAGGTTAATACCGAAAAGACACAATACATGAATATAGGAGGCATCGGTCAAGACATGGAAACAGAAAGCGGATTAATTAAAAACGTTGATCAGTACGAATATCTCGGAGTTACACTAAGCGAAGACGGGAGAGACGACAAAGATATCACAAGAAAAATAGGAAAAGGAAAAAACATGATAAAAACACTACATCCGATCCTGTGGAATAAAACTTTAATTAAGAAAACAAAGAAAAATATATATCAGGCTATGATTCAGCCGGTGCTGACGTATGGGTCAGAAGTGTGGGTCTTTAACAAGAATATGTCACAAAAACTCCTCTCAACGGAAATGATGTACTGGAGAAGATGTTCCGGGTTAACTTTGTTTGACCACATAAGAAATGAAAACATAAGAGAGAGAATGAAAGTAAAGAACACAATAATGGATACGATAGCCGAAAAACAATTAAAATGGTATGGACACCTGAGACGGATGAACGAAGAAAGGATACCACGAAAGGTTTGGAACTGGAGACCTACACAGAGAAACAAAAAGGGAAGGCCAAGAAAGAAATGGATATCCAATATTCATATAGAAATGGAAAATAAAGGTCTTCAAGAAGGAGACTGGGCCGATAAGAAATTATGGCGATTGGGATGCGAGAAGCGACAAAATTAAAGTTGCAAACACTCGCTATATATATAATTATAGACGATTTGCTTGTAAAATGACTGTCAATAGTCAAGCAAAAATATTTCAGAAGAAAATTGGATTTTTGTGAAAGATTATTCATTTTGTAATTTTCTTATTATTCAAATCTGAAAATTAAGAAGGTATTACTAAAAATAAAGGATAGAATAATATGAAGACATAAAGAAAGAAAGGGTCAGAGAAGATAATCCAAAAAATTATTTTGAGTAATATTTGGATACAATACAACGGAATTCGGTGATACTAAATAGGTCGATGCGACCATATATTGTAATTTGTATAACAAATATGGAATCAAAAAATGTTACCTTCCAAGAACAGTGCGACCTTTGCCATATTTTTGTAAATATCTGCTGCAGCAACAGTCAACACTCCATGAAGAAATAAAGTCAGTTCGAAATGCTTTGCTAAATAGTCGAACTTTTCATTCTTTGTAATCGAGAAAAAATAAAAACGGCAATGGCAAAAATAACATGATCTCAGTCTCATAACAAATATTTCTACCAACTGATCAAGTAAACCTGACTCCATTTAGTAGTTTGGTTTACCAACTTGGTCTGCGAAAGTAACCCTCTTCTAGCTAGGCTGAGGAGGTACCATGGGAGCGTTGTGGTGTAATCCGCTGATTGGGCGAGTTTTCGGCTGTTGTTCAGCTCTTCTCTGATCCACCGCATATCCGTGTATCTCCTCTGTATATTCTTTAATAAGCGTTGCTATTTGGAATGCTTGTGCTGTTGTGAGAATGACTTTACTCTGCTTACGATCGCTTCCTGTAATTATCATGAGACAGTTAAGTGCAGGAGAGTAGCTGAGAATGCTATTGTAGTCGTATGTGCACAAAGCATTTCGAGAACGGTGTTCTAGAAGATGAAGTCCTTTTTGGTCAACGGCTAACCACAAGACTCGAGGCCAGTTTGATGTAAAGGATTGCTGAAAAAAGTAAAGAAAGGGTTAGATATTAACTCTTAAAATTAGTAGGGGATGAATACGTGTAATAATTTGAATTTATTTTAGAAATTATTTTTATTTTTTAACTATTTTCGGTTGTAACATGTTTACAGTTTACTAATGGTTTTGAAAAAAATTGTTGTTGTCGCTGTTTCTATAAGCGTTTGAAATAAAAAGTGCCTCTTACTCTAATCCCTAAAAACCATTACCTTCATAGTTTTGGTTTCACGTGATGGAGGGTTAGTTATAGCATGAAGTTGCATATTATTTGACGCTCGAACGGAGTTAGTATTTATCGAGAATGGGACATTGAATGCGAATAGGTAACTGACACAAATTCTAGAACACCATATTTTACACTTTATGGTTATTCCTGGAGACGACGTAACATTTATACATTGCTACATTGCATTTACACACTGCTTGGATTGTTACTGACTATCTTGATGATGTTCAAATCACACGATTTGGTTGGCCTGCTCGAAGTCCAGATATATTAATTTAGGATGAGATGAAGATACGTTTACGGAGTTATGATTGATTATCGGATATTTCGGTTTCTTCACGTGTCCGTCTATCAAGTCAGTCTCTTTAGATGAAGTGTTACCGACGCACATTTGGCCTAACTCGATGATAAAATACAATTCTACGAAGTTCCTCTTACTTGTTCCTAATTTTTTTGTCCAGTATTCATAAACAAACCAAATATTTTTCAATACTAGTAAACATAAATGAGAGCAGCTTTTTTAACTATTCATCATCACATGTTACATGTTTCTTATTTTAAGCAATATACTAAAACATGCCCAGTACTGCCGAGTAAATTCGAGAGGTATATGGCGTCATAGTTACCTACTGAGCGAATAGAGAGAATTTATTAAAATAAACGTAATTTTTATTTGTTATGACTTTATGAAGTATCCTGTAAATTTGAAAATAATTTTAAAATCTGGAACTGTAGGCCACCCAGTATAATGTGTCCAATACGTAATATAATTAGATTAGCAATGGCTGTCAGCAGTTTTTAAAATGTAATTGACTGTAATATGAAAACAATAATTCTGTATTATTAAAACTTACCATAACATCAAATATAGTCGCTTTATGTAATGGCCAACTTTGGATGAGATTCAAAAATGCTTGTTTTGCTTCAGAAGGTGTCATTCCTCTTAACGATTGGTGGTGCATTTGGACTCCTTCACAAGGTAACATCGGTACCATACGAGCTGGTAAGCAATGAGCAGCGATGGGTCTATAATCGTGAATACTTTCTTCCAAATCTCCCAGTTCCAATTGAGCTTGGAGTGCCGTTAGCATCATCTATAATAATTAATTGCATTTAAACCACGATATACGAAAACTTACAAGTTAAACCTGATAGATGTTTTTAGTTATAGATTGTAGTAGCAAATTTAAGAGAAAAAAATACTTACCGCTTCTTTGTCTGTTATAGGAAACCGGTCGGTTCTTAAATCGTGTAATACTTGATGGTATAAGAGTTCTTTCTCGACAGGATCATTCAAATTAATAAAGTTATCCATAAAGAGATGTTTCTTAAATAGGAAAAAGTGGTGTTGAGGCCTAGCTCTCTTAGCGGTACCAGTATTATTAACTGAATTGGCAGTAGTTGCGGCTCGATATCTCTCCCACTTTGCCATCACGTCAGCCACTTTTTCTTCAGCTGCTAAACTACGTTCCGAATTTCCTAACACTTCATATATGGCATAACCTAAAATAACATATTTTAAAAACATGTAAAATTCAAGATTAATAGTTAATTTAATAATGTAAACATAGTGACAATATGTTGTTTGACATACACGCCTATTGATATATAATGTAACAATAAATCTCTTTGTAATAAATATAACCCTGACATTAAAGATGAAAATGTCGGTCTTTCTTGACGTATAGTACCTAGTTGTGTTGTGTGTGAAAACGATGTTTTCTATTTCAGAATTATTTATTTTGCTTATTGAATGAAAGGTAGATTATTTAAATTTAGAATTGATACAATTACATAAATGTGATTATATTCATCTGTAAATACAGGTATAGGTAACAACTGTTAAAAAAACAACTATACCGAATCATTTAGACTCTAGAGAATTAAATAGGAGATCATACAGTAAAGAGGGATAATACAAATTGCCAAGATTGCACTAGAAAATATCAGAAGGTCCAAACTAGATGGAAGAGTGAAGTGACAAAGAACGCGCAAAATTAAATGTCAGATCTTGCGCAGAACTGCTAATGTTGGAGATGGAAATTACAGAAGACCAAGACTCAATTTGAGCTGTAGAGTTATTGAAACGATAGTTTTAAATGAATCTCTTATAACATATCGGCTGTAAGAAACATAATGCTTATTTCTTAAAAGTTTACCTTTTGCTTCTTGACTTAGTCCAATTTTGTCTCGAACTACTTCAAGAACATCTTTAGCAGTGGCAGATGGATGAAATTCTACGGAATGATATTGTCCGTCCATGAAGTGGAACCTAGCGTAAACTGGTCTTCTATTTATTGTGCATAAAATTTCTTCTCTAGATGGAGGCCATTGTCTTCTCCGAGTACCTTGCGTTTTAGAAAGACATTTTTCCGCGAATCTGAAAAATGAAAGTTTTTATTACTACTTTGTTTTGATATTTGACAGCGTTCCGTATCAGCGACGGACTTTAGTATTTTAACTACTGCCTTGCGTTTCTTGTAAATATTTTCTGGTGTTTCTATGTAACATTAGATTAAATATAAATATATAATAAATAATGACGTATCGCACATTGTATCTCAAAAGATCATGTTTTCCTCTATACGGAGGAACTACACAACTTTAAACGGTTTGGATTATTATAGGCCAGGAGTCATCAAATATACTCTCTGAGGCTCCGTTTCGAAAGCCTACTACACTTAGGCGGCCCGGACACTCAGCACTAAAGCAGGAGTGATTTAAACGGGGGGGATACTCAGAGACCCTCAGTAGTTGTAACCTCTCAGGAGATCATCTTGGTTACATATTTAAAACCAGGCAATTAGGCCACCTCGTTTGGGAGTGGTATGGAATAAATTCAAGGAAATAGATTATTATAAAGCTATTATATTTTTTTCTTCCGTCTTTGTTTATTAAATTTTTGCGGTGTAATGTGTATGTTGCTTCGCTGGTCCATACACCATTAGGCTTGAGTGAAAAACTTGCTTAACAGTGTCATTTTTGTAGAAATCGTTAAATCGTTTTTTAAATTCCAAATCAAGTTTATTAATAAAACGTAAGAACTATGTAACATCAATATCTTTATAACTATCACAAACGGATTTAAGGAGAGGAAAATGCAAAAGTTCTGCCTTAATATCCTAAGAAAAAAGTTCAATCTGTTTAGAAAAACTTCTAATATCCAGAAATTTCTCAAGCAAGTTTTCCCTTGCATTATAGCTTTAAATTCAAGAAGTTTAGATGTCTGAAGATATCCGCCAAAAATGCGATAGTTGAAGGTTTTCTGTGTTCAAGAGGAAGCCCAAATGATCATTTGCAGCTTCATTAAGCAGCAATAGTGGGCCGAAATTCTTTTATGCTTAGTATTACGAGTATTTCTACACTATTTTATTACTAGGTATATTTTGAATTTAACGGCGGTCCGCAAAAAACAAGCTCACGGTCCAGATGAGGACCGAGGTCCGCCATTTGGTGACTCCTGCTATATGCGACAGACAAACCCACAGAAAGGGTTCCATGACATCTCGTAACGCGACACAAGGTAATTACCCAAATGGTATAACGACGACACAATATCGGCAACGGTGTACTAAGCAGATAAAAGTAAATTTGCTTTTCTCTTAATAAAACTCCAATATCGCGATTAGTAGCGACAAATAATTCACGGTTTGTTTACATATGTAAATTTAAAAAGACTTCATAATAGCGTAGTGAGAAATTTATGAAAAAAACTCGCTTCCAGTAAAACCTAGTATTTAAAGTGATAAGAGTACCTAAGTTAGATTTGCGACGTTGCCAAGGGTAAAAATAATTCTGTTAACTGAGGACTGATAGGAACTGGATTTTTGGTGGCCCTTAGAAACAGACATGATGACGAACACGAACAGTGATAATTACGCGTCCGAAGGCAAGAGGAGAAAAGATAGAGGGTCAACTTCACCTTCCCTGCAGAGCAAAAAACTGTCAGAACCGCAAGCAAAAGAAAACCAAGGGAAGATCATTCAGACGACGAGGACGTCGTTCTGAGTATATTCAAGAAGATGATGGAAGACTTGAAATAAATTGGGAATGAAAATCAGGAATACAGAGAAGATATGATAGCGCTGAAAATTGAAAATATAAAGATAAAGCAAGAATTGGAAGAAACAAAAATCAAATTAACCCAGGTTGAAAACAAAGAAGGAAGAATTAAAAAACAGATGAAAAGAAATTGCATAAGTACGGGTCTACCAATAGTCGCAACAGATAAGGCACTCTTAAAAAATAACGTAAAAGATTGTATACAAAAGGTAATGAAAGAAAAGGAAGATTTCTTACTAGAAAAAAGATCTTCATCAACGATGACCAGACCGAAAAGGAAAGACACATGAGGCTAAAGGTAAAAACGTGAAGATAGGGTACAAAAACTAACTGTGGATGGCATAAAATAATGGACATGAAAACCGGCATATAGCAGTGAAAAAAGAAAAAGACGACCCATTACACCGTCGTCGGACCATAGCAGTGAACAGGAAAATTACTTTAAACATAAATACCGAAACAAAAAATACGAATAAGTACTTAAATATCACGACATGAAATGTACAAGGACTATACGAGGAGGGAGCATTAATTAACTGATAGAAAAACTTAGAAAATGTAAAATACGCATCATAGCAATAAAAGAAACACATTTGACTAGAAACAATATTAAAAAGATTAGTCAATACACGTTTTAGTCCAACAAACATATAAAGTAAGTGTGATTGTATCTTGTTATTTGTTTATAAATGTATTTTATTTTGGTTTTAAGAGTTTTCCTTATCCCTGAGAGATAAATTAAGATGGCCTCCTTTTTTTCTTTCTATTTGTTTCAATTGTTTACCCATTTTCTTTCGGTTAGTCGGATTCATAATATTCTCTATTATTTCTGACTATTGTAATGAGCGATCTGTAGACATATGTGACCTAATGTCCCAAAGCTCGCCGTTGTGTCCTTCAAAACCCATGAGTAACCGTTTGCATAGTGAACGTATATAGACCTGCTATTCTTCGCCCGACTTAAATTCCAAGACTAAACTTCTCCTGGGTTAATTTTTATATTACCCTCCATAATAACCAACTTCTGGGCATTCTCACTTCCCTATCAGGTTCAATTTGCGTTACAATGTTGGCAGTTTCGTTTTAGTCAATTTATTTATTTATTTATCGTATGGCACTTGACACATTTACATTTAAATTTACACATAATTTGTATAAAACATAATACATATATGTTTACAAACGGACATCTAACTTATTTATATATTCTATCGACTTTGGAGTAGCCATTAGAAATCCTCTGACCTGCCTTGATAGGATCTCGTGGGACACTGTTCTGTGATGTAACAGATGGTTTGTGGTTGTTAGCAGTCACAGAGTGGGGATGATCGTTTACCCCATTTGTGCATCATATAACCGCATCTGCTATGTTTGGTTCTGATTCGGTTCAACATAGTCACAGACACCTTTACTTCCAAGCCATGAAGTAGAAATTTGGCAACAACGCGTGGTAGTCCGACCGTGGTTTGTTTTGTTTAACATTTCATATAGGAAGGCTTCTAAAGTTTGTTGAATTTAGTGTTTTTTTAAACTTTATTCGAATGTTTTATTTGTAAATTGTGTTTAAATCAATTAGAAAATATTAATATAAGTGAAATTTCATTAAGTTAATCATTACATCATCGTTACATCAAATATGTAAACTAAAAACAACAATAATAATACTTTTGTTTTTTGTTACAGATGCCCTGGCATTGTTGTGTACCTGGTTGCAAAACCAATTATGCCAGTACTTTAAAAACGAAACAGGCAGAAAGTACGTTTTCGTTTCCCAAAGATCCCCAAAGAAGGTATACTGGGCTATGCTCTATTCATAGAGAAGGCTATACAATTACCAAATCTTCCGTAGTATGTGCCAAACATTTTCATGAAGATGATATTCAGCGGCTGAACAATGAGAAGATAAAGATGGAAATGTTAATGTTAAACACATTGAAAAGTTAATATTTCACAAATTAAAAGATAAGGCAATTCCTAATATATTTCCTGAAGTACCATCATATGTAACTGTTCATCGTACTAAAGAAAGAAGGAATCCCGAAGACAGAAGAAACTTTTTGCATAAGAAGAGGGAACAAGAGATAACAGAAGTCTTAGACAATGATTTAATACATTCCTTTGAATCATTTTTAAGAGACTTATACAATAATATCCCATTGAAAAACTGGACAAGTAAAATTACAATTGACTGTATATTTCTATGTATTAAACATTAATCAGTTGGGACACGAGTGTGATAATATTTGTGTAATAAGTATAAGTAGTGTAATAGTTAGCAGTAATTTTAGTGTAATTGTCAATGTAGGTAAGAATAGATTAAGTAGTAATGATTTGAAATGGATTTTACAATATAGTAAATTAACAAGATGGTCACAATTAGAGAACTTACTTTCTCGATATAGATCTGCTTTTTAGATAAGTGATAACAAATTTGAGTATTACATTTAAAAATCTTTTGAGAATATAAGCTATTTTAAATCGATATATAAGTTATAAATGGCATGTTACATTCAACACATTTTTCATGTATACCTCTTTTAACTTGGTCTATATGACAACAAACCTATTCATATTTAAAATTGCTACTTTCGTATACCTAAGTATGAAAATTCAATAAAAGTTATAAGTAAATAGTAAAATATTTAATTTTGAATTAGATTAATTTAGAACCATATTTATATTGTGTCTGATTTCTTAGGATGAATTTTTTAATCACAATAGTTACACTAAGTTTTTACTTACAAATTTTATATCTTTTGTATTTTTAATAATCTTTTTAAATGTCGTGTTAATGTATTGTGTTATTTATATGCTTAAGTACTTAATATTTAAAATTTCTAGAGATTCTTGACTGCATTTGATTGGAAGATTAACTGTTTGACACTGTATTTTAAGTGCAATAAATTTTACTCTAGTGATTATTTTATTCATAATATAACCTTAATAATAATAAAACTTTATATATATATTTATTAGGTATATATAGGGTTTTATTAATTTAATTTCCCTAAAAGTATTTCTGTAATGAATTGCAGTTTTCAAAATATCAGTTTCCTAAAATTCAAATTAGTTTAATTTTTGGTAGACCTTACAGCTGATTATCGGACTACCGACGGCATAGAATGCGGTGTTGCCTTTTTTACTTCATGGCTTGTAAGTAAAGGGGCTGTGACATAGTCCATGTGTTGCATGGTAAGTCAAAACCTGGTGGTTTTTGTGTGATGCAGGGTAAGCTGCTATTTTGTTGTTCCATCCATTCTCGAGTCCAAGTGGTCGTTAAGTTGAACTCATTTTCCACTGCGATCTGTGCTGTTTTTATTGGCGGTCGCCTGGAGCTCAAACGGTTACCGTTGGCAGCATCTATATCTTGATGAATTGGCAGGGTCTCGTTGCTAAATATCTTTTGGTACTCACTAGTGAGGGAGTGTATACGCCGTAGTCTGGGTGGTGGAATGTGGCTCATGACTGGGAGCCATTGCGTAGGGGTGGATTTGATAACACCAGCAATTATTCTCATTGTGTTATTCAATTGGGCATCTACTTTGTGTGTATGTGGGCTGTTAAGCCAGTATTCTGCAGTTAAGAAAACAAGGCCCAGGGCAGATGATCGCAAGGTGGAAGTCGATGCTCCCCATGTTGTGCCGCACAGCTTCTGGATGATGTTGTTTCTGGATTTAAGTTTTTGCGCTGTTTTTGACAGATGTTCCTTGAAAGATAGAGTTCTATAAAGAGTCACCCCAAGTTATTTTGGTGTTTTATTGTAGACCAGTGTGGTGTTTTCGAATTTAACATTCAGTGTTCTTCCTGCAAGCTTGTTAGTTAGGTGAAAACTGGAATCCTCTGTTTTGGTAGCGTTTGGTTGGAGCCTCCATTTACGGAAATACTTTCTCACTGTGTGTAAGTCTGCCGTAAGGATTTCTTCTGTTTGTTCAATTCTGTTTTAGTCAATATAGTAATATAAATAATATATTTTAAATTGCAAAACGATAAAGAACAATAATTTTTTGTGATTTTCAATAAAAGTAAAGACAAAAGAAGAAGAAGAAGAAGAGCCGTGAGGTATTATTTATCTGTAAAAAACGTAGGTCAAAGTATAAAAACATTATCTTACTAGAACGTATGAAGAAAAAACATAAAGGATCGCACATCATATTACAAAAATTTTGCCAAAGCACACCCATTTAGCAATCCATGCTCTCCTTCACCACTCTGTTTACTCGTATTGATACTGCCTCGCACTAATGTTAAAGATTTCCAACCACTTTCCAGGTAGAAATGTCCATTAAAATGATATAACTTTTTGATAACTTACCTTGCATATTTTCCTTCTTCTGTAACAAAATCAGAACTACATCGTTTCAAATGTGCAATAAGGTACCTCCGTATGGCTTTATTGGGCGGTAAAACTACAGAGCATGCGAGTGACAACAAAGCCCAGTGCCTCAGATTAACTCTGGAATTAGGATCGGGATGGTCAGTGGTTTGCTTTATTAATTGTAAATAAAGTTCGCAAAGTAAAGATTCTTTTCTCATACACCGCTCCAGGATCGTTTGTAGAAGAGTAACGTGTTCATCTTCCACTCTGCGAATAACCTCACCTAAAAAACGACTCATATTTATATATTTTTTTTATATTTGACACATAAATAGTTAATAGACGTATCCTCCTAGCTGCAGGATACGGTTAACAATACATTGTCTGAAATGATAGTCCTGACAGTAGGAATGATGATACAAGAAAGTAAAAGTGGGTGTGTAAGGAAAATGCAAGGATTGACGTAAAATAATTGTCCGGGAGCAGAGCATCCATTAGGATTTTCGTGAGAGGAGTATTTTGGAGGGAACACCAATACATGTTAGAAAAATCAGGATAGAGTCTTGGAATAGTGAAAGTATTTGAGTTGGTACATGTGCTTAAAAGAAGGAAAGTACAGATTATTTACATTCAAGAGACAAAGTGAAAAGGATAAAGGAAGAATACAAATTGTTGTATGTGGGGCCAAATCTCATTAACCTGACAGAATATTAGAATAAGACTTGAGAAAATAGCTAAAAAACTTTCTAAAGAAACCTAAAGAAAAAGCTGGATTGACTACTAATGATCATCACCATCTAACCTCCAACGTCTAGTGCTGGATACAGATCTCTCACGTGCTTTTCCAATTAGTCCAATTTGACACCATCTGAATCCAATTTGTAGTCTCCCTTTTTAGTCATCGGTCTATCTCGTCGGGGGGTCGACCTTCGTTGAAAAAAAACTGTTAGGAGTATTGGAGGAAATTATGATTCTCAGTAATGGGGAAACGACATCAATACAATACTATAAAATCGTATAAATGGATCTACTACTTAGACTAGAATACGCTGCTGTATTGGATTGACCTGTAGATGAGCAGTACTGCAAGAAATAGAGGTTTGCGATTAAAAACCGGAATACAGATAATATAAAAAGTTAAGTTGATATTTTTTTATATAATGTTTTTGCCAATTATTTACAGATGAAGTGAAAAAATTGTGACTAGTTGAATGACAAACAATCCAAGCGTAAAAAAACCTCCCACAAGAGAGCCAATGCATGTGGAGGGAAGATAAATTCATAGATGAACGAGTAAAATGGCAAAAAAGATAAGATTAAAAACAACTAAAAAAGAATGGAAAAAATTTTGAAAACATAAGAAAAGATTGTTTGGTTGTAGGACATGTTCAACGTCGAGATAGTAAACATTGAATACGAAGAATTGCTGAATTAAAATTCCTGAAATAAAATGAGTAAAAGAGAAAGACCAAAGGAAAACCTGGTTATTAAATATTTACACTTCATCTAAGATACTGCTACTTAATGTTATTCTGTAAAAACAAACTTAACAGTAATCAAGAAACCACTCGTCATTTTTCTTGAAATTATAGTTTTTTTGCACTTCTTTTAATATAAAGAATTAGGTCAATATAAAATATATATTTAAGAATAATAATAAGTAAACTTACCATTCTGTCCAAGACCAGCATAAGTTAAAATAATCTGAAATACTTGTAACATAATCTGTTCGTCCGGTTCAGGAATTCTACTAATACTCTGCGGCAACAATTGTCTACTAAAAGCCCAAAAAGCATAATGGAATCCTTTATATGTTTCGCCAGTATCCCCGCCGTGCTCTTGCCTCAGTTTATCCAGCTTATGCTTGCTTAACCTCCTTAAAGTATTTCTCAAAAAGTTTCCTGATGTGTCAATGGGTTTTCTGAGTATATCGTGGTCTACCAACGCTCGTCTACAGTTGACTAGATTATGATAGAGTCTAACTCTATCTTCGTTAGTAATCGCCTTAACTTTCTTCATCGGAGCTTCGCTTTCTGTTAGCCATCCAGCTAAAGAGGGACAATAACTAGCTATTAGAGAGCCTATTTCATTCTTTTGTGGTGTTTCAAACACGTAACATTTATGATTATTGTCGTTGAGGTGTCTTTGTAAAGTTATTGTAATAAAACTATCACTTGGGTCAAGAAGTATGCTCTCAACGTCTTGATAGTGGAACTCGTTTAGGACAAATTTGTCGTCGTTTTTGATCAACATAATTCCTTCACTATTGACACCTAATGTCAAAGCATTACCATAAGACCAGTAACCGCGATACGTTACAGGATACATAGTGGTACCGTATAACGGATACTGCATAACACAGGACAAATAGAGAGCTTTTGCTGTCAGTTCAGTGCGGTTTGCACCATATTGTCTGTGAGCTTGAGCAATTATCGGTACCTTAAACAAAGCGTTTCATTAGATACCTATTGAATAAATAATAGATGTTTTACATACCCACACATCATCTCCTCTTGTCCTACTTATCCTATAAGGTAGATATGTGTCAATATCATTATAGTATTCGAGTTTGTTATTATCTTTGGGATTTCCTAAAGCTACTTGTGCCTGTAAACCAGCTAATTGCAAAGCAACCTTTTCTGTTACAGGAAAATCATCACACTAAAAAGAATAAACAATTTAATTATTAACCTTACGTAGGGTCAAAAGATCAAATCAAATGTAATGATGCGAATAAACAATGACTAAACAAGTCTAGTAAAATGTTTAGTGATCTAAAAATAAGAGTTTTTACGTTGATATCAAGGAATGGCAAAGACGCTTCAGACTCAACTTCCATGGTTAACTGAATACTAGGATGTATTCCATTCAGGTGGGAGAGAAAGAGATCTAATGTGTCTTTACCATGTGGCCAAATGACAAAGGTGTCATCACACCTTTGTGAACATACCGTAACCAGCAGGTGGGTTTGAGATTTGATGAGGATAGGTCCGTTGTTTCGAAATGTTCCATGTAGATATCAGTTATTACGGGAGAGAGGAGGCCCCATTGGGCACCTTTGATTTGACGATAGAAATGATTTTGGAATGAAAAGTATGTATTAGATATGAAGTTTTTTATAAGAGATAATGTGTCTTGGGGAAATTTAATGCTTAGAGTCCAAAATGGAAATTGTTTCATCAATACGAATATTGTTCTGAAGTTATTTTCTTGTGGCATTTTAAAGTAGATACTATTTTAATGGGAATAAGCCATAATTGAAGTTTACAATAAGTTTATTGATGTTTCAACTTCCATTTCGGAAATCGTTCTCAAAATACATTATTAGTAGCCCATTAATGTTTGTATTTTGAGAACGATTTCCGAAGTGAAAGTTGAAATGTCAATTAACTTATTTTAACCTTCAATTGTGGCTTATTCCCATTAAAATAATATCTAAATAATACGAATGATGGTGAATAAAGAAACAATCTCAAAACTAACTAGAATATAGCTGACGGTGAAATGGAAATGTTTTTCAGAAGACCAATGAAATGGAAAGGATTGTTGACAAAGGACGAGGAGTTTTCGGCTAATGATTGGGCGCGTTCAGCAGACGGAGCTGCTCCACAACTGTTGAGTAAAAGTCTGCAAAATGCAACCGCTACCGCGGCGCTACTTCCGGAGCGGCCTGTCAAATTTGGTAGCGTAAAAAAGTATCGCTACATCCATCCAACATGTTGAGAGAAATGCCATTCTTGACATTTCGGTACTAAAATTGAGGGTTAGGTGTTTGTTTTGTTTTTATTTTACATCATAGAGAAATAACATTTAAATAACTTATTTGTTATTTCTCTATGTTTTACATTTTTTGGAAATTGGCGACATTTGTAAAAGGTGAAGTGTGCATGTAGACTCGTGTTTTTTGTTGTTGAAAGCTCTTTTGTGTTCTGGTATAAATATACATTTGTTGAAGGTTCTACCGGTTTAACAGAGGTATAAGTTTGTATGTTGGGTTTTTGATTAAGTTTGTTATACCCCACTGTATAAATGTTTTTTATGTTGGCTCTGGTACTTAATATATTATATTTGCTTAAGTAATTGTTTGTTCTGAAAGCTGGTGTTATTCCTCTCTGTTTGTGTTTTCTTAGTTCTGTTGATATCATGCCTGATATGTAATTATTGGTTCAATTCATTGATGGTTTTATTACTTAGGTATCAAAGTCATTGTTTCAGGCACTATATAGCTTTCTTTATTTAGATGATAATTGTGTGTAATATTAAATTTTATTTTCAACTATCTAATATGTTGTTTCCAAGTAAGTGAAACTTTACTATATATTTACTGCAATTTAAAATGCTTTAAAATAACCAAGTGCCAGGCCGAAGTCTGCAGAAGGATATTGATCGTATATCTAAGTGGAGCACACAAAATGGTATTTGGATGTGTCAAAATGTCATAATTTTCATTTGCACCTTCCTCATCCCCCAATAATATTCGAATATAGTAAACACAATTTAACCCTATATTCTACTTTTGAAAGCAAGGATCTAGGTGTGAACCTTGACTCTAACCTTATATATAAATCACACATTTCCACAACAATACAGAAATCTATGAAGCTACTTGCTTTTGTGAGGAAAACCATCAGAGATTTTTCATACATCTCTGCTATTTGATCCCCTTCTCCATGGTTAGATCCCTTTTTATTTACTGGTCCACAGTTTTGTCCCCCTATTACATTGCACCTAAACTTAAGACTGTACAATTTTCTGTCATGCCATTGTATGGATGCATCTATACTGTGAATATGTTTCATTAGAATGTACACTGAACTACTCTTGAGATATGTAGAAATCAAAGAGACTGAATAGTTCTATTTATAATTATCAACAGTCTGTGCACCTGCTTCAAACTTCTCTCCAAAATATTTGTTTATTAGTCTTCAATATTTCAACTAGGTATGTGCAGACTTTTTATGTTCTTTTCATAGATACAATTATAACCCGACAAGCGAGAGCTGGCGGGTTGCGCATAGAACAAATTGAAAAGTGGAAGGAATTGCTCTTTTCTATTGCAGTCGGCTAGGAGTTCACATCGTGTATAACCGTTTAAGTACCTATACTATATACCTATAATCGCGATTAAGTACCTCTCCTATCTCTCTTAGAATAATTCCTTTTCTATTTGCGCAGCTCACCCGCCAGCTCTTGCTTGTCGGATTATACTCTTATAACAACTTTACTCCCAGAACTCTTCTATTAGCTAACTCTTCAAAGAATCTCCAAATTTTTAATCTATCAGTTTTCCTCTTCAAAAGTGATAATTCTGATCCAACTTTGTAATACTTTCGACTTCAGCTTTTGTATTGTGTATAGTGTTACATTACCTGCATGCATTAGATAACTTAAAACCATTAGACCTTGTGACTTTTTCTGAATTGATTTGTTATCTTATTTTGCATTCCTCTCTATCTATAAATAATAAACTCCTAATCTATAAACAAATACTGAGGCCAGTATGGACCTATGGCCGCCAACTCTGGGGCTGTGCCAAACCTAGTAACATCAATGTAATCCAGGTATTCCAGAATAAAGTGCTGAGGAACATCGTAGATCTTGGTACGTTAGGAACAACAATCTTCACCGGGACCTCAAGATGGAAGATGTCAATCAGATAATCAAGAAATTTGCAGAGAGCCATGAACAACGACTCCATCATCATGTAAATGTCGAGGCTATCCAGCTCCTCGATAATACGAACCTAGAGAGAAGGCTCAAAAGAACAAAGCCTTTTGAACTGGTATAGTGGGTGAGTGAAAAGCAGAGCAAAGTGTTGTGAGAGTATGCATGCTAAATTTAATGCTAGTTATTAGAAATAATAGGAAAGATACTAGTGAGTAGACACCTAATTTTAAGTTTTCATTAGAATTTAAGTTAGAAACAAATTGATAATTGGTCTTACTGACCAGATTTTAATGTAAGTACACTTCAGTGTATTCAGTAAAAAAAAATTGTGAATATATGTTGTTTTTTTGTTATTGTACTATTCATATATTCTTTTTCCAAATCAGTTTATTGTATTAACTGCATTTATAGCACTGTAAATAAAACTTGTATAATGTAAATAAAATGATATATTTTTAGTAGCTTTTGTTTTATTAAAATTAATGATTTTACAGAGGAAAGTGTGTTTATAAGCTAAGTAAGAAAAGTTTGTAAATATAACATAAATATTAATGAACCAAAATATTTACAAGTATCATCATTCTATTTGTCTTTTTGCCTCTTTAATAGATATTCCCTCATTTTGTTAATAAAAGCCACACCCAAACTTACTCTTAAATACTCATTCCTCACCTCATCTTTTTTAGTTACTTCACTCACCCAATGAAGCATGCTCATTTCAGCCATGTAATTTCTGTTTATTCCTATTTACTGTACAATATTCAGTACCATATAATAATCACTGGTCTCAAGACAGTATTATAGAGCCTGTCCTTTAGTTTTACTGGTACCTTCTTATCCTTATCACAACACTTCAGTCGCCTCCTTCCAAGATTTTCTGCAGCATTTAACAGTAGATTGAATACCAAGCATGATAGTGCATCTCCCAAAGCAGTCCTCGGTTAGTTTTAAATGACTCTGAGACTTCTCCTTGTATCCACACTTTACATTTAATAATAAATAGGTCCTGTTGAGTTTACCTGTTTAAATTCAAATATGGTTGTATAAATTAATCAAGACATTTTGTCCTCCCCCTGTATACCTTCGATCCCTATTCGTACCGTTCGGGTATGCTATGCATCCCGTAGCACACAAGCGCTTAAGTCGTTGAGCAGAATAGACGCAAGACACAACCCTCGCGAGTGCGTCGATGCATCGAAATCGGTTGGTTTTATAGTAGTGAATTATGGTACCTAATTAGCGGTTCGGTAAGTTCACCTAGTTTAATACCTTTGTTTGTTTTTTGATTGTTTTTGCAACCATTTAAATTTTATATTATTTGTTATTTGCACCTATGAGTGAAAGTTCATTTATCTTGCCAGAGCTATCGAAGGAATAGCTGGTATTAATCTTAGTACTATTAATTCGTAATAGTACATTATTTTGTTAAACCCCCACATTGGCCTATCTCGCCGAATTTGAACTCATTTGTTGAAAAAAAATATTTTGTTATATTATAAATTTGAATGGTTGGTTTCGTCTTATGTCGTATTTTTTTATCGTTTTGAGGGTTGATTAAGTTGCGTCTCTTGTCGAAAGCTATTAACTTCGAGACCCGAGAATAATTTATGACCTTTTAAAGTGCACCATATGGGATTTTTTAAAAGGAGATTATAGTCGTTTTAATAAAGTATCGAATTTCAAATCATTAATTTCGAGCATTTCGGGGTTTTAGACAACATTTTTGTACATTTTTCGTTTGTATATTATTGGAATTTATTAGACATTGGCAATGGACAAGTTAGAAGAGAAAAACAGAAAGCTCAAATTTATGAGAAAGACTGTTTTAAACGATATGCAAATAATATTCGATTTGGGTTTTAAATCGCTCTCGGATATTTCGATCCGACCTTTATTTAAAATCAGGGTGGAAGAATTAGATTTAATACGCGATGAATTCTTGAAACACCACACAAATATAATTAGTAATATTCTTGCTGTACCAGACGCGGATA